TAATGAAAAAGAATCTGAAAAAAATATATATGTATATATAAATGAATTACTTTGCTGTATACCTGAAACTTTGTAAATCAGCTCTACTTCAATAAATAAATAATAAAATATTAATAAAAAAATAAATATGGGATCTTCAACAAACTCATCATCCAACACTTCTGTTTGTAATGAAAGCTACCGTCTCTTGGGTTGCGATGGTCAGGCTATAGTCAGTTTTGGTCCAAATTCAAATTACACTGACACACCACATGTATGGACCTACTCCATGCTTATTTCTTCAGCTCCTAAATTTATAACTGGAATAGACATACTTGGCAACTAGCAGAATCCACACATTGGCCATCTGATCTGTGCGGTGAGGGCTATTATGGTAAAAAGGGACAAACAGAAGCCCCTGGCATGTCCCCTCTTTAAAAAAGATAGTAACCCATATCCATAGAAAACCAAATCATAGGAATGGATACCAACATCAAAAAAATTGAAAGGTATGGGGATGATAAAATCTATCATATCCCCATTCGCCTGTCTGGTCTGTGAACAATCTTAGAAAATGACTGTGTGGATTATCCAAAATATAAAGAGGTTGTGATTCCAACTGCAGCTGCAGTTTCAGGTCTGGTACCTCTACTGGAGCAAATCAACATCGCCCTGACGTGGTACTCGCTACCGACCTGGCAAAGGCTTTGTTCTATGTATGCATCTGGAAGAACTGCCAGCACGTGTTTGCTTCTTACTCGGGGCAAACAGTAAAGTTCACTGCCTTGCCTTTGAGCTATGCTAACGATCCTGCTCTTGGCCATCAAAACAGTCCGCAAAGATCTACATCCTCTTGATGGCCCACCAACATCACACCTGTACTTGCGCACTGGCACTTTGATGACATGAGGCTGACTGGATCTGAGAAACAGGTAGCAGCAAGCACTTCAGTTGGCTTAGTAAAACATGGGAGAGACAGATAAACCGCATAAAAATCCATGGCCTACTAGCCCTCAATGAAGTTCCTAGGGCTCAGTGGTCTACAGCATGTTGGGCTATCCCTCCAGGTCAAAGACAAGTTATTGCGTCTGCTACTGATTATGACCCAAAACGTAGGCTTTGTGAACTTAGGAGGCAATACATACATACCACCTTTGAATGTGTCCCTCGGACTCATTATCTGAGAGACTCATAAATTTAATAGTTTTTAATGGGATTGGAGTGAATAAAGGCTCTGCTGCAATTCCAACTTGCAGTGTAAGCTGCTTTGCCATATGCTGGGCCTTATGACCTAGCATGTCTACTGATATTCTCGGTGCCTGGAAAATAGGGCTGATGCATGGCGCCCCAGGGAAGCATCAATAAGTGAATCACGACCCTGATCTTTGGGTCACTATATTCTGAAGATGTGTGTCCTCCCCAAAATGTACATTAGAATCCTAACACTCAATGTAAGGAATGCTCCTCATCAACGACGGCCTAGATTCTGCCGCTCCAGCCAACACGAGAAACCAGTGCTGAGCCCTCAGCCTGGCCCCATATCCTGGGGGGAACAGCCAGTCATCTAGCAACAGGTTGGTGTACAAAAGGGGCAGTAAACTCTCCTCGCTGGAATCGTTATACCCTGAATATGGACTCGCTGTCCTTGCCACATGCTTCTGCCAGTGCCACTAAGTACAGACTTAAGAAATACCTCATTTACCATCATGATAATCAATGTAACACTATATCTGATCAAGCAACTTATTAATAGCAAAAGAAAGGTGGTAATACGCTCAAGCCCACTAAACCTGCCCATCAGCAAGTACGCCATCACCCAGAGGCACCTGGCTTGACTGAAAGGAGGAATGGCCGACTGCGAACTCAGTCGTGCTGCCAGCTGGGAAACAACACAACGAAAAACTGGGTCCTACCTTACAACAACAAAGTGTATGCGTTGAACCAGTAAACAAAATATATGCTTTTGCCTTCCCCACAGTCAAAACACACAGGTCTGGTAATCAAGGGGCAGAAGTGGGAGTGACTGCCTCTCAGTATTATACCTAATAGCCCACTCACAAGATTTTTACTTCCAGTCTCCATGACCCTGAGCTCTGCTGGAAGGGGTCCAAGGAAGAAAGGTTTCCACCAGAAGACACAGCAAAAATTCCATTTTGGGGGATGAAGAGGATTACTCTACTGATGAAGAGTGAGTGATTCATCACCACCAAGGGAATATTACGTTGCTGTCAAACAGTGCAGACTGGGGCTACCCAGGAGATTCTCTGAAGAGCCTCACGGTACTTCCATATCTAAAAGCTAAAGTTAACAAAAATCTAAGCAACCAAGAAAAGGCTGGTTCAGATCCTTCAGGTACTTGACATCCCCAGAAAAGTACGAATCTGTGATTCAAGTTTATTTATAACAGTGCAACTTCTGAATCAGAAGGATTCATGATACACATTTTTAAATGCCCTCAAAAAGGTAACCTCACCTACTGGCTAAAAGTTGCCCCTGTAACTGTACTTTGGATATACGATAGTACTTTGGATATAAGACAGTGCAAGGTTTCTTCCCTTAATTTGACATTATGATGGATAGAAACAGTATTTGGTTATCATTTTAATTTGCATTTCTCCGATTAGACTTGAAGCTGAATATCTTTATGAATCTTTTTTACAGTACACAGATTAACTCTGTGTTATATACGATGCAATAATTCACAGATTTTCTTACCATGAAATTTTATTTATGATTTGCGGGGGATATAAAAGTTTCTAAACTACATATAGCTAAACTATCACTATCTCCTTTCATGGTTTCTTTCAATCCTTTTCTGCTCAGAAAAGCTCTCCTTGCCCATATGTAAACATATTTTCTTCCAGCTGTTTACAGTTTCTTTCTCATATATAATTCTTTAATACATCTGGAATTGACTTTTGTATGGTATAAGCTGAGAAAATATTTTCCCACACAGTTAACCAATTATACAAAGTAAACGTTTCTTTTTTAAAAAAAAAAATCTTTTAAGATCAAAGCAGATTTTTTCCCCACTGATTACCATATTAATAGCAATGCTATGGGGAAACAAACAAAAAACCTCTAGGAAAACCTGATCCATCAGGAGGCATTGACATTGCTGGCTCACAGCAAACCTACACAATGAACTTACAAGACCATTCATCCCTCAGAGGGTTATCATTTCTAGAGACACACAAGACCCTGTTTTATCTCCTGTCATTTTCAATATGAGTATGAAATCGTTTGGAGAAATAGGTGAACACTTGGGGGCTATTATATCATTTTTATCTAACCCTGACAGCTCAATTTCACTGCCTGTTGTACGAGATAGATTTGAGAGCTGACATCATAGAAACCGTGCTGAAATTTAATCCAGAAAAGGCTGATGGTGATGATGGTAAGCAGGAAAAAATATCTACATAATGTAGCAAAGGTTATCGTGGGCTCCTGATATGAGGTTTCAGTTCTCCGGCAGACAGGCAGCATCACGGTTAGCTCGGAAACACAGGTGCTAGCGGAGTTTCAAGGCACAGGTGTGGAAGGGAGAAGAGTTTGCTATACAAACTCATCACAGAGAATTTTAACATCTCGCTAACCTGAAGTCTGCCTCCCTTTCGCATACCTTTATATTCAACATTGCATTTTATATGCTCACTAGTGTAATACCTGGGCTGCAAAGCAAAAAGGAAAAAATACCAACCATTCTTCCATAGTCTGGACTGGCTACCTATGTGATTTTGAAAGTAATTTATATTATTAATTTTAATCTACAAAGCCTAAACAAATCTGAGTTTTGACACACATATATCCCCATATCTCCTCCCTCTTGCGTCTCCCTCCCACCCTCCCTATCCCACCCCTCTAGGTGGTCACAAAGCACTGAGCTGATCTCCCTGTGCTATGTGGCTGCTTCCCACTAGCTATCTATTTTACATTTGGTAGTATATACATGTCCATGCCACTCTCTCACTTCGTCCCAGCTTACCCTTCCCCCCACCCCGTGTCCTCAAGTCCATTCTCTACATCTGCGTCTTTATTCCTGTCCTGCTCCTAGGTTTTTCAAAACAATTTTTTTTTTTTTTTTTTTAGATTCCATATATATGTGTTAGCAATTTTGCTTCTTGACCCGTAAATCCTAAAACATTTACTCTCTGTTTCCAGGAGAAGTTTTCTAGTTCCTAACCTAGATCCATCTCAGCAATTCTAGGATCTCCCCAGTATCCTACAACAAGTAAAAAGCCAGATTGAGAAATAGGTGATAAACCGTATGTTCAAGAGCACGGACCAGACAGTTTCAAAAACGTTAATCGAGAAGCATCAAAGGATGAAGGGAGGGGCTTCCCTGGCGGCGCAGTGGTTGAGAGTCCGCCTGCCAATGCAGGGGACACGGGTTCGTGTTCCGGTCCGGGAAGATCCCACATGCCGCGGAGCGGCTGGGCCCGTGAACCATGGCCGCTGAGCCTGCGCGTCCGGAGCCTGTGCTCCGCAACGGGAGAGGCCACAACAGTGAGAGGCCCGTGTACCGCAAAAAAAAAAAAGATGAAGGGAACCTGAGGTGCATCAGAACAGCTTCTCCTTTTAGAGGAAGGAGGTGAGACCCAGAGACAGTGAGAGATCTGCCTAGTCGAGAACCAGTCCATGTACTCCTGATCCTCGCCCTGCCTCTTCCTCCGCTTTTCTAGGCTGCTCCTCTGGGCTTTCAGCTACTCATTCCAGAAGCTCACACAAATCGGAACTATGACCAAACCACCAGTCAAGAACGCCTTGCAAAAATGTAAACCAAAACCAACTTTAACACCCTGCCTTGGACTGTACTCAGATCTAGGAAACTCCAAGCACTTCCCAACATCCTGCTTCAGTGTTTCCAAGCTGAGGTGACAAGTGAAACATTAAACCTTTGGAAAAATCTAGGAAAAAAATTTTGAATACCAGGTACATAGGGGCCAAGAAATACTACTAATAAAACTAATAAGCAGGGGTCAAATTGACGTCATTGGTGAAACTGTCAGAGAAAATCTTACCGTGCTTGGCAGCTGAGCAGCAGCATCTCGTGGTTATGAATCAAAATATACAGAAGAACCAGGAAGGATTTTGCTCTGATGGATGTCGAGGGGCTGTCCAGTAAACGGATAATTGTAGAGACAAAATCCTGTGGGAGACATCAGAATATTTTTTGAGAAAACATGAAATAAATAGAGCAGTCAACTCTGAGGGTCAATAGACTGTAATAACCAAACAGATAGCAGAAAATAAAATAATATCAGCTATTGCTTTTGCATTTTTAATTTGTGCTGCTCCCTATACCAAGTTATTAATATGTATGATCTCATTTAAACCTGAAAAGAAGTTATGAAGAGTTGATAATATTATCCCTATTTTAAAGAGAAAAAGGAATCTTGAAAATTTAAGCACTTTGCCCCAATTCACAAAATTGAATTCAAATCCAGGCCAGGCAGATGACAAAGCCTGCTTCTTAACCCCTCCATCACACGACTAGAAGCGTAGCAATAAACAACTAGAACTGAAAGTCACAACTGCATGGAGGCATCAACTTCTGAGCAAACCTGCACACACAGAGATCACGTCTCCAGTCTACACAGCTGAGGTCCTACAGACATAAAATA